AGCCATTATGATCTATAAAATCATATTTACAACTTATGTGCTTTCAGAATATGTAATAAAAATTGGGGGTCACCTTTCAACCTAAGGAGCCATAACTGATTAAAAATAGGTCTGATTTTAGCATAATTTCACTGTATAGCGGCACAAATACGCGGAAAGATACCTGTTTGATGCGCACGTACGGCATTGCTATTGGCCAAAAAGATGATCGAAAAGAATGCAAATTTGTGAAAACAATGTCAGGAACCCAAAATATGTAAAAAAAACCTAATTTCTAACTTCCATACGTATTGCGCAAGTAAAAGTGCGCGCGCATAGTGGAAAATAATGAAAAATTTTGAAATGCTCAAAATGGCCTGAAACGTGCTCTAATTTAGTCAAAAAGTAATTTCAAGCATTTTGAAATTTTGACGCATGCGTGCGCGCGCGTTAATAAAAAATTAGGGTACAGTACATTCAACATTAACCTAAAGTTAATGCTTACTTAATACGGTTTCGAAATATCAATTGGTTAGGCTGATATGATCGATAATGTACTAACGCAAAATTGTGCGTAGTTGACGTCACGCATGACTGAGCGTGTTGAAAAGCTTACCATGACTATTCCAGACCAAGCCAAATGTTCGTTGATAGCGATTGTGCGTAAACCCGTGGCATTTTTTGAGATATCGTGCGAACAAAAATGGAAGGAAAGGTAGAATAAAAAAAAAGGATCTCGTACAATAACAATAGGTGATCCGCTAGTGTAGCGGATCACCAATGATGATGATGATCCTGACAATAACAAGAGGTGATCCGCTAGTGTTAGCGGATCACCAAAAAAGAAGATGAAGATGATGATGATCCTGACAATAACAAGAGGTAATCCACTAGTGTTAGCGGATCACCAAAAATTCAATCTGGACGTAGGACTATAAAACTTCGAATTGAAATCCAATGGACATAATATCGAGAAGAAGCCCAATTAGAATTGAAGCCCACCTCTTCTTTTTTCTTTTTTTTAAATGTTTAATAAGTGAGCACTTTTGCTTTATAATCACTGTTATGGTATCTGGTACAGATTGGGTACATCATATATTTTCTAATTATAGTGCATTCCAAAGACAAATTGTCCATTTGCAAAAATATCAAATAAATTTCAGTCTCTTAAATATATGATATACAAAAATTTAATAGACAACAAAAAAAATGAAACATCACACTTACTTTAAATTGAATATCCTTGTTGGCTCCTGATTGAATAAGAACTTCACACGCATCTGTATGACCATTTTGAGCACTTACGTACAATGCCGTTGCCCCATCCTACATTTTACAGAAATATAAAAATATTTAGTAAGTGAGCAATTTTCCTTTGCAATAACATATCACTCTTATGGTATATGGCACAGATGGGAAGTACAGATGGGGTACATAATATATTTCCTAACTAGAAATTGCAAATTGCAAGTGAAGTGCTGCGAAGTACAAATGCATAATAAATGTTCTTGTGAAAATAAGGAATAATAAAAATATAACAAATAATATGAGACACAACCCATTGTCTATATTAGAACACTTCTCATTGGGTAACAAAGTCGTAATTTTTCATTTTTGTCAAAAGTGTCTATAGTGGTGAATTATGGTTTAGGTTTTTTTTAAATAGAGTTTCAAAAATTTCTATGTATGTGGAAAATGTAGTTGATTACCAAAGGTTACAATTTTTATTTTGAAGACTGCATGGTCTAGGAAGTGTAAATTTTTTTATGGGGCAAGTTTCCAAGGGCGGGTTTTCTAGGGGCAAGTTGACTGCCAAAGAGTGTTGCCAAAGTGCGAGCCAGCGTGTTATCTGATCACAAGTGCAAGACATCGCAAGTGTGAGCCAGCGAGCCATGATGTCACGACTAGATACGAGACGTTACTCGAGTTGTGCGAGGTATCGGCTGAGATTGTGGAGTACAATTCAAAAAACAACTATAGGTCTAATAATGAATTATTGTGATGTTAAATAGACAATGTTAGCTATCAAGGAGCGACGTTGTTTTTCTTTGGGACCTTCGTCTCTTCAAGGCTAGGCCTATACTGTTCCATCCTAGCTAGTCTAGGCCTAGAGTAGATAAGGCTAGCGCGACATGCGGACGTTGGTACGTGTTAGTTAGTCTACAAACGTCGCCTAAAGTAATTGATTTTACCCGGCAGAACGAAAGAAGGAAAATCCGCTTTTCAGTCGTCTTAGGCCCTTGTTTTTTGACAAACAATGACCTTTCAGAGGTCAAATTGCTGTCAAGAATATGAATTGGCTGCTTCGCAGCAATTATCATCCATTTCAAAGACCAATTGCCCATTTGCAACCATATTGAATAAATTTCAGTCTCTTCAATATATAATATAAGGAATCTAGAAAGTCGAGTAGAAATGTGAGTAAATTAACTTGTTCTCCAGTGTTTCACCTGTCATAGCAGACGTGTACGATTCATCAGACTTTTTTAACTCATTTTATCTTTTTGCTTTGCTACTTTTCTCATGACCAAAGAAGTACTTATTATTTCTTTCTCCTTGTTCAATCCAGGGACGTAGCCACGATTTTGAAAGGGGGTGAGCCGTTATGCGAATTACGTATGACCCCGGCGGGGTCAAGGGGGCGAATCCCACTGTGAAGTAGCGCAATCTGAATGTTCTTAGGACTGTTTGAGAGGATAAAGTGAAAATTGCAATAGACGCATTATAAATAAGCGCAAAAATAATTATATAATAAATCAACAGTGGCAGATCCAGGAATTCGAAAGAGAGGTGAACCAGGGAGGGACTTTCACAGACCGAGGAACCATCCATCTCAGCCCCACCATGGTTGGGGCTGAGGTAAGAAAATTTATGATTAAAGCATCTCTAGATGGCCGGAAATTACACTCTCGCACTTCAATTTGAATATATTTTTCTTTTTTTTTTTCTTAAAAAAATGGAGGGGGGG